AATAGCTTGAAAAGTATTGGTATTAGTTCCTCTTTAAAGGTTTTGTAAAACTCTGCTGTATACCCATCTGGTCCTGGGCTTTTCTTAGTTGGTAGTCTTGCAGGCGCGGTTGGCGGCCGAGTGAGTGATTTATAAACAACAGAAGTTTATTGCCCAAAGTTCTGGAGTCTGGGAAGTCCAAGATCAAAGGCCTCAGCCAATTTGGTGTCTGGAAAGGATCCGCCCTCTGCTTTGTTAATAGCACCTTCTTGCTTCATCGTCACATGCCAGAAGGTATGAACAAGCTCTGCAGGCCGCTTTTATAAGGATATTAATCTGTGACCTAATCATCTCCCAAAGACCCCCACTTCTTCTTACCACCACATTGAGGGATGTAAACATTCAGACCATAACAAGGGTCATGGGACCATTCCAGAAAAGAGAGATTAGATATTGCAGATAATTTATTGATTTGTATTTTCTTTGTTACCATTGCATACTAGAAGAAGAACTGGTTTAAAAATATACATTAAGGGTCTGGGATTGTGGCTCAGTGGTAGAGCGCTTGCCTCACACATGTGAGGCACTGGATTCAATCCTCAGCACCACATAAAAATAAATAAAAACAAAATAAAGATATTGTGTCTATCTACAACTAAATATATATATATATATGTATATATATATTAAAGTATATATGTATTAAATGAAAATAAAAAGCTCCTAAATGACCAACAATATGGGACTCATTAAACTTCCATTCAACTGAGTGTTCTGCCGCCATAAAAAAAATAGATTTTAGAATAATATTTAATGACATGAAAAAATAGTTATGATGAAGATTGATAACTAAAATTTATTGGGTATTAATTTTATGCTAGGAATGAAATTTCTACGTTGTTCTCATTTTAAAGGTAAGAAAACTCAGGCTCAGAGAATTTAAGTGATTTGCTCAAGCTGATAATATGCACAGCCAGAATTCCAACTAAGCAATTTGACTCTAAAGCACTTGCTTACCCAGTCATCGTTATGTATCTCTGTAAACTTCTTCATGAAACTAAATCAAATTTTTGTAATGTTTCTAGAAAATAATTGTTAAAGAATAACCTAATTTTTTAAAGAATGTACTTTTGGGGGGGGGGTTGTAGATGAACACAATACCTTTATTTTATTTATTTGTTTCTATGTGGTTCTGAGGAACGAATCCAGTGCCTCATACATGCTAGGCAGGTGATCTACCACTAAATAACCATAACCCTAAGATTACTAAATTTTGACAAAATAAAATTGGTGAAGGGACAACATGTCGTTATAGATATAAATATAAACTATAAAATACCATAATTAAAAAAATTAAGTCATAGATGGACATAATATCTTTATTTTTTTTTAATGTGGTGCTGAGGATCAAACCCAGCACCTCACACGTATGAGGCAAGTGCTCTACCACTGAGCCACAACGCAAGCCCCTAAAATACCTTAATTTTTAAAGTAACATTGTAGAATAGAAATAGACAAGAAATAGAAAAATCAGAAGAACCTTTTTATGTTCTCAGAGAAGAAACCAAATGGATATATGTAAATATTTATAGTGATTATCACAGATTAGAGGAATCACAGGTAAGTTTTATTTCTTTTTAACTTTATTTTTCAGATAATAGTAATTTTTAATACTTTAAAACTTTAAGTATTTATAATATTTTATTAGTGCGATATATATTAGGATTTTAACATATATTAGGATTTAACTTTATGCACAGTGTATTCTGCATTTTTTGAATTGCATACTTGGTGAAATGATTTTCTAAAATGTTCAGTATATTATTCGTTTATTCAGGGCTTAAATTAACCAATCACATAGAATAACCAGTGCATTCCTCCTTTTTGATAAACATGGAGAAACGGCAATGGGATATTAATCTTTTAAGATTGAGGAGAAAGATTTTAGAATATTTTATTTTCAAAACCTGAAGGTATCAATTGATGATATAAAGAAAAGCTATTATGGAGTGTTACTCTGCATTAAAAAATGACAAAATCATAGAATTTGGAGGGAAATGGATGGCATTAGAGCAGATTATGCTAAGGGAAGCTAGCCAATCTTTAAAAAACAAATGCCAAATGACTCCTTTGATATAAGGGGAGTAACCAAGGACAGGGTAGGGATGAAGAGCTTGAAGAAGATTAACATTAAACAGGGATGAGAGGTGGGAGGGAAAGGGAGTGAGAAGGGAAATTGCATGGAAATGGAAGGTGATCCTCAGGGTTATACAAAATTACATATAAGAGGAAAGGAGGGGTAAGACAAGATAATACAAGTGGAAGAAATGATTTACAGTAGAGGGGGTAGAGAGAGAAAAGGGGAGGGGAGGGGAGAGGAGGGGGGATAGTAGAGAATAGGATAGACAGCAGAATACATCAGTCACTATAATGGCAATATGTAAATCAATGGAAGGGTAACTGATGTGATACAGCGAGCTGTATACGGGGTAAAATTGGGAGTTCACAACCCACTTGAATCAAACTGGGAAATATATATTAAGAACTATGTAATGTTTTGAACGACCAACAATTAAAAAAAAAAGCTATTGAATTTTATATATGTAGTTTCTGTCTGATCATTGAACTCTATAGTAAGTTGGTAATAATTTTACAAATGATTCTTTTGAACTTTCTAGATGATTATATAATTATTTCACTTAAAAATAATGATAAATTTTCCCCTGATATTTGTGGTCTTTATGATCTATAACATTCCAAAAAATTGAATAGTTGTTTTAAAAGATGTATAGATTCTTATAATAGTAACATGGAAATATGTGTCCTATATATCATAAAGTAAAAAATAAAGTTAGAGTCCTATATATAGTAGAATCCAGTCTTTATTTCAAAATGAAAAGCACTGTATAAATAAATGCTTGATTTGGGTATATTGCCTCTCAAAAAATTCCAATACCAATTTGGGTACCTGTCTTCATTAGCTTAAGAAACCAAACAAAATGCCATAGATCAGGTAACTTACCCAATAGAAATTTATTTTCTCACAGTTCTGAAGGCTGGGAGGTCTTAAGATCAAGGTTTCTGTTGATTCAGTTCCTGATGAGAGCTCTATTCCTGGCTTGCAGAGGCCTCTTCCTCTCTGTTTCTTTTTTTTTTTTTTTTTTTAAGAGAGAGTGAGAGAGGAGAGAGAGAGAGAGAGAGAGAGAGAGAGATAATTTTTTAATATTTATTCTTTAATTCTCGGCGGACACAACATCTTTGTTTGTACGTGGTGCTGAGGATCGAACCCGGGCCTTGCACATACCAGGCGAGCGCGCTACCGCTTGAGCCACATCCCCAGCGCTCTCTGTTTCTTCACATGGCAAAAAACTAAGAAGAGATGGACCTCTCTATTGTTCTTATATGGCCACTGTCATATTGGCTTACCCTATGACTTCTTTAACCTTAATAGCCTTTTAAAGACCTTATCTCCCCCAAACATGGTGGCCCAGATCATACTTAGCAAAACACTGCCTCAAAGTAAAATCTAAAAAGAGTAGGGATATAGCTCAGCAGTAAAGCACCCCTGTGTTCAACACCTAGTATTCCCCCTTCCCCTAGAAAAAGATCCTATCTCTAGATGCAGTGACATTGACGAGCTTCAGTATATAAATTTGGAGGTTACACAATTCTGTCCATAACAGTGCCTAAACACGTTCCAGTGATCTCAGAAATCCTGCTTAATTGATCTCATTGAAGATGGGGTTTATTTTATCCTTATAAAATTCTTAAGGTACTTATTGCTTTATAGTATGTCATTAGGAGATTTGTCTAAATTTAACCTTATGAATCATTTCCTCAGACACAAAATCGAATGAAGCTAATGGCCGACAACTACGAAGACGACCACTTCAAGTCCTCCCATTCCAATCAAACGAATCATAAGCCCTCCCCAGACCAGGTAAGATTTCCCCTGAATATTTTATTTTTTAAAAAAACCACACCTTTTTTTTTATGTATTTTGTACTAGTGTGCTGCAGTTTCTGAGGTATAAAGTAGAAAAAGAAAAGTAAATATCTAATTCAGGTTTGAAAACTCCTTCACATTTTTTTTTAAACACAGACTCAATTTCCACATAGGAAGTTGATGATTCTGAATTTTTTAAAAGCAGGTTCTTGAAAAATTTGAAATGTCAAGGAATCCTTGAATTGCACAGGGGGAAAAAGTCCTGCTTTTTTTATTAAATAACAATGCCTTGTTAGAAAAACAAGACCCTCTTTGTAAGCTCAGTGAGGCACAACTTAGTGTAGAGGTTACTTCTATTTAATTGCAGATTATGAAATCTCAGCTCATCACCTATTAAAAGTGAAAGTTTCTTCACTCCATTTCCTGGTAGTTCCCTCTAACATGTCATTCTCAAGGAAAATCGTTGTCTTCAATTTCACATCAATGCAGAAGAGACATTGATGTGCCTAAAGGAAGCCATATTCAATTCTAGTTTTTTAGAAGAAGGGAACTCTCCCAAAATCTTGAAAGTGATGGATGGGGGAGAGTGGTGAATAGATTACCTCATATCCCATTGCCAAAACTCAGATTTCAACATCTCCATCACACCCAATCTTAAAATGTATGGCTAAGGGGAAAAAAATAATCAAGTAATTACATCCATATGACTAAAGAGTCACAAAAAACTCCCCTGCTAAACATCTCCATAAATGACAGCTACGGCACTGTCCTAAGAGAAGTAGCAGAAATACTGCAGATGAAAGTAGCAGTGATAGCCAAATTGCTATTATTTCTGAAATTCAGAAAGTATAGTCCTAATATGTTGACATGTACTAAGCCAATTGAAGCCCACCTTATGTTTTAGAGGGAAGTCTTTAATTAAAGCAAAATGGAGAATGGTCTGCTTGATGTCAGCAGTCCTTCCCTGCCAAGAAATCATTTTGCTTTCTCTGCCTGCTTCCTAATACCTTGAATTGTATTTATGCCAGCATATCTAAGATGCATGTTAGATCCTTCCCATGAAGCAACAGAGAACTGGAGGGGTGGTTGGCAAAGAGGTGAAAAATGAAAAGGCATAGCATAAAGGAAAGAAAAAAAAATTAAGCTGGATAATATTACTGAGAGACAACATTTGAGAAAGGCAGGAAGACAGAACTGTAATGATAAAATAATTACTAATTTCAAGAGTTCAGAGGATTAGAATTCAAAATTTAAAAAAAAAATTAAGAACTTCTTTTCTGCTACATTATGTCTTTGTCTTTGTTTTAATACTAACCAACTCTTTTTCATTCCCATGCTGCCCCGGGGCATTGTTCCCTTTGTCATCTCTCCCCATAGGATGAGGAGGAGGGTATATGGGCATAGCCAATCAGATGCTCTTAGTTCAGCCATTTTGTTCAGAACGGTGAGAAACAGCTTTCCTTAACTACAGAAGTGATTTTTGTTTGTTTTCATTTTTTCTTTTTACACAATCATTCTCACAACTTGTTTCTGTATAATTTATGAAATCCTTTGGTATGCTTTCTGTTTTTTTCTATTTTACATGATTCCTGTGTGTATTGCTGTGGATTTGACATAGTGGGGTGGATTTTGTGTTGGTTTTTTTTTTCTATGTGTGTTAATAGTCACTTTTACAATTTCTTTCTATACATTTTTGGGAGAACTTCCAGGGCATATGACTAAATTTCTCTAGTAATGATTTTGTTAATAAATTACCTTCACAGTGTCCTGGTTAGGTTTATACTTAAATCAAACTGGCAATAGAAAATTGATCAAATAGCCTGGGTTTGAGATGTCTTTCTTATGATAATTAATTTTAAATATATAGTCCATTTTTTTAAGTGGATTGTGAACCACACCTTATTCCTTTTGCTTCTGCCTATAGTAGAGTACTCCAAATTCTCAGGGTCATTACCTAGAATACGCCCTCAGGCTTTGACATTGCTTTCAAACTTTCCCTAAAAATGAGGAGGAGCAAAGAAGTAAAAGAAGACTTTTTAGAAGTCAGTCTAAAGAATTATTTTCCCTTTTCATAGAACGCTGCTGTGTTCAACAGTTGCCAGGACACTGTCTAGATTCTCTTTTCCAGGCCAATTGGCTAGAAAATATGGTCCAGATGTGGTAGTATCACCCTTTGATCTAATGCCCTTGAGGTTTAACTAAGGAAATCCTTTTCTTAGAAAAGTAATAATTATGATTAATAACTTCACACATATTGGTGGCCTTGCACTCCCTGAATTCACTGCTGATGCTAATTGATGATCTCACTGTTTTGGAGTCAGTTCTCCCTGAAATGTCTGTGTCTTGATGTTAAACTGCTTAAAATTAAACAGTCTTATGTAGCCCTTTTAACTATTATACACAGCCAAGGAGGATGGAGAGGTAAGTTGTGGAAATGGGCCATAAACTGTGAGATGGGCAGCTTTCCAAACAGCTTTATCCTGTGGGTGCAAATGAAGGTGAAATACACAGTATCGACCAAGAAGCTCTTTGGGTTCAAGTACTACCTGCCAGCCAGAGAAAACTAAAACTAAGACAGTCAGTGTTTTGGTTGTCTTTTTCTGCCACCCTACAGGAGTACATATTTGACATCATCAGCCATAAAGGAGCCATACAATGTAGCTTACTTGTTTCTCAGGAATGAACATGGTCCTGCCTTGTTCATTTGGAGGAATATGGGAGATTCTTGGCCTATCTCAGAAGGAAGCTCCTCCCCCACATACATAAACAGGTTGATATTTTTCTTGCATTTGCTTTTTCTAGTGAATCAGAAGAAACATGTTAATGTTCTGAGAAAGAAGATCCTTTAGATAACTTCCCTTGGAGATTGAAAAGTGAACAAACCATCACATTTGTTTGGAACATTTGTTCCAAAAAGTGTCTATTTTACTTTTTCTTCTACCAGAATAGAATAACTCCTAGCAAGAGTTCAGATGCTCTTGATTTTACTTTTTCTAATTATTGTATTATTGAGCTTACTGAATGATACTATTACTGCCACTGGTTTAACACAGTGCAATTGCAGTTAGTTGGTCATAGCTGGAATTTCCATGATCTAGTCTTTCAAACTTTCTAAAATATGCTACAAAAATCATTATATGATAACAATTTTACTTAAGTAATGCATGAGTAACCCCTAAAACACTGCAGAAGTTTGACTTGGTATCCAGTTTCATTCTCTTTTTTCTGCTAATTCTACAGAGAACAGATTTTCTCACCTTAATTTCAAACTTGCAATTGCTGATTCTTGTGTCAAACATAAGACCTTAAAGTTTTGCAACTAAAACATTTTTGCAGTACACCAATTATTTGCAAAGTATGAGTCTTACTAAAGATGACTAATACTCAGATGGGAAAGAGAATCATAAAATTACAGAGCTGAAAGGGGTTTTGCAGTGAGGCCATTTCATGGAAGGTAGTATAGTTAGGATAAGGGTTCAGAGTGTAGGCTTTGGAACAGAATTCCCAGGTTCAAATCCTTACATCCCCACCTATTATGTATGACTTTGGACAAGGCATGCAACCTTTCTGTACTTTGATTTCTCATCTTTAAGGTGGTAGTGGTTTTAAGAAGTAGATGAGTTGTGAGAGAAATGTTTCTGCTACCAAACTGTACAGCTTTGAATCTAGACTCCTTCACCTACCCAATGGCCTTGGGAAAGTGACCTAAACTCTCTAAACTCCAGTTTCTTTATCTACAAAAATGAGATTTTTAGTACCTGGCACAGAGGGTTCTAGATAAATTCCTAGCTTAATGTAAATGCTTTGAACAGTATTTACCCAGCAACTTCAGTATGTCTGTTACTATTTTTATTGTTGCTGTTGTCATCAACGTTAGCTCTATCTAGAGGAAATGTAAGTTTTTAGTAAATGTTAGTTGTTGTTGTTGTTGTTGTTATTTCTAGTCCAGCGCCCTCATTTTATTAGTAAGAATGCAAAATAGATTTGAAAGTTGTGACTCAAGGTCCCCAGCCATTTTTGCGGTCTGGAAAGGGACTAGTGGCTGCCAAAAAAAGAAAGAGTAGGGCTGGGGCTGTAGCTTAGTTTAGAGCACTTACCTAGCATGCATGAGGCACTGGGTTCAATCCCCAGCACCATATAAAAATAAACAAATAAAATAAAGGCATTCTGTCCATCCACAACTATAAATTTTTTTAAAAAGAGAGATAGCAAAGAAATATCAACAATTGTATCTCTGTTTTATCAGTTTGATCTTCTATATGTTGAGATTTTTTTCCCCTTGGAAAAACACCTTGAAATTTGTAAAGAAATTCCCTATAAAGTGTACACACCTGTATAAAAGATATTTAGTCAGTGACATTGTCTTTAAAATAATTAACTGTCAAGAAACCTTCCTAAGATGCTCAGACCAAGGATTACCTCCATTTAAAAAGAATGATATAGCTTCTTTTCTGTCCTCAGCCTAAGAAAAATCCATGTGAAATGCAGTCAGCTTTCTCTCATGGTTCCTCTTGTTCTTTTCAGACATTCCTCTTAGGTATTTGCTAAGTAGAATTTCAGCAGGATTTAATAATCATTTAACAACTTAATTACATTAGGTCTAATGTAATCTAAACCCAGAAATCTGTTTAACTGATTTACTGAGGAGTTATTATGTAGCTGACTTAATTTAGGCTTATTACATCTATCATAGATGGAGTTATTTAAACAATAAACATTAAACAATTAACATTATTTCTGGAGGTTGGAAGTCTGATATTAGGATGCCATCACCATTGAGTTCTTAGTGAGGCCCTCCTTTTTTATTTTTTTGCTGGTGGTGCTGGGGATTGAACCCAGGGCCTTGTTCATGCTAGGCAAGCATTCTACCAACTGAACTATATCCCCAGCCCCCAAGGGCTGCTTTTTGCTTTGCAGATGGCAAGCTTCTCATTGGTGGGGAAAGGAAGCAGATTCTTTCATATTTCTTCATACAAGGGCATTAATTCCATAATG